TATATTGAGACCTATTTATATGTGAGTTAACTAACCTATGCTTACTAACAAGCTACATTTGCGCTATTTTTTTGAAACATCTGCCAAATTGATTAGCCTGAGCTCTAAACAAGTAAAAAAAAAAAAATTTCTATTCTTCAAGAAAAGGTAGTTATATATCACTTGTCAAAACTTCAACCCAAGCCAACATTTACCTAATATCAATACACATTTACAAGAACCTTCCATTAGAGAAAAAAAAAAAAAAGAACTAATCAAAGTCTTTTACAAATATTATAATTTGATTGGTTTCATAAAATTAATAGGAAGATATCACATTACGTTAAAGTGTTCAAATGCTAAATTAAATAGTAGGAAACCACATTGCATTACAATATACCAAACCCAACAAATATGTATTCAAGTTAAATAATATCAGGCGACTCAATTTTTCATATGAAAAATTTTAGTTCTCAAAGATTTCCATAGCAAATAAAAAAAAAAGAGAGAAAAGCCACTTTTAGATAAAATAGAAATAAAGCAAAATTTAGAAAAGATCAAAAGAGAAGAAGGTAAGCTTTGATTAATTTTATTTTGATTTAGTTTTCCTACTTTTTCCTTCTTGAATTTAAGGAAAAAATGATTCGTATAAGCTACATGCAATTATTTTTTCCCATTTGGTGATCGTAACTTGCCAATCCAAAACATAGGATCTTGAGTTTGCCTTTCAAGTTGGTTGTCTCCAAATGTTATTTCAATGCTTGGAAATTCTGAAGCAAATGTCTTCACCTTGGCACATTGTTCCAAAAGCATTCTTTTCAACAATGGCCATTTTATGATGTGGATTTTAGGGAAGAAACCCTTGAAATTGGATAGACGACTAAGTGCCAGGTATGTTACTCGAGGAAATACAAGCCGAGTTACTTCTGTTTCCACCAACTTTGATTGTGTGGCTGCAACTACTTGTGATCCACTACCACTGAGTCCTTGAGCTTCATATAATTCTCCAAAAGAATTACAATTGGAGCAAAATCTTATGAGTTGCGGAAGGTCAACGAGCTCTAAGTTGTCTAGTTTGGGAAATATTGTCTGGCTTGTCTTTTCTTTTTCTACCAATTCTTCTATCAATATTACCACTTGCGTCTCCTTACACCCCTCAATCTTGAGTACTTCAAGTTGCACAAAACTTTTAACCATTGATGATGTGAAGAGATATTTCAAATTATTACAGTACCGCACTGTCAATTTCCTCAAGTTTTGAACAAATGAGGACATTAATGTAACTTGGCTATGCCATATTTGTTGTACACAAATGAAGTTCAGATACAAGTCATCCAAGAGAGGAATGTCAACCTGCACATTAAGAAGGTCCAATTTCATTAAAACCATTATTTTTTAATCAAAGAAAACAGAGCAAGAGTGAAGTTGAGAAGAAGTGGAAATTATAGTCTGCAAGTAATAATAATAATTAAAATTACGTTAAATGTTAAATTTGTGAAGAAAAAACTTATTGCATTATAAAATAAAGCTTGACGTGATTTTGTGAGTGGAACAATAAATAGGGATCCACGTGGCAGAGGGACTTGGACTTAGACTGCCTCCCCTACATTTTTCTTTATGGCCAAACAAAGATTGCAGTACGTTTTCCTTTTTTTTTTTTTTTGGAAGAACATTTTCCTAAAATTTTAGTTTTACAAATACATTGT